ACTGAACGATTTTGTTGCTCCATTCAACTGAGTTACAAAACTATTGACACCTTAATTGTACACTGAAGAAAGTAACCACCCTCACCAATTCTCAGTAAATATTACTATCCTGACAGTATCATACAAACGAATGATATTCATATGAGCGAGTAAATCCAATATTCTGGTCAAAAATATTCTTAAGCATAGAAATTGTTAAGAAAATGTAGTAAGAAGAGTAGGATAAGCACAAGGGAAAACTGAAGCTGAAAATCATGCTTTATCAGCCAATGAAGAAAGATTTCTGCAGCTAATGCCCATCTCATGCAATTTTTTTTTTTTCGTTTGTTCACGGAAAGTCAGATTTTTGGGTGCTGCTGCATTTCTTCTGAAAAAACTCATCCAGGTTCTTTGAAGAAGCTATTTTTCTGGTACTATTAACCCTATGTCAAGTACTAATTCTCCTTTAAATAATAATAAAAATATCCAAGTTATTTTAAAGCATGCTGAATTTGAAACCAGGCAACAGTTCTTCGATGTTGTTTTTTTTTTTTTTAAAAAAAATAAAATCAAATAACCAACAGTTGCTGTGGTTGAATTTTATTAGCATGCTTGGGACCACAGCTATCTTCAGTAATGAACATACTGAATTTTCAAAGACACAGAAAACATCCAACAGTTTCCTTGTACTCATGCAGTAAGCAGATGTTCTCTTTATTCCTTAGAGGAAAGGCATCAAAGATAAGAGTACTCTAAAATTCTTCTCAATGTCCAAACTTAGGTAGCTGAGCTCCCATTTCCCAAAGGAACAAATTTCTTCCACAAGCAGATCAACTGCGGCTTCTCCTGGTCTGATGCTCAGCAGATTTTAAACAACAGAACCTCCTTCTCCAACCTCTACGGAGGGAACACTACTGCATGGAGCAGTGGTCAACTTTCGCACCCTTTCTTGCTTGTTCCCCCTGTACCACTGACACCACTAGTACATCTCCCAGTCGAATCTTTAGATTACCATCCCTGTTGCTACTAATCAACAACTGGCAGAGAAGTAGACCTCCTCCTAACCTCCTCCTCCTAAGAAGCCTGGTGAACGAGGTCCTCATAGGGAAACACGGGAGCCCCTGAACTACCTAAATGAAACCGGGAACATAAATCCTTAATTCCTGACACCCCAAGTACATGCCCTCATCACTGAACTAAAGATTTTACCTCTGTCTCTCATCATCTCCTGCTGGTGCTGCTTCAGTCATTGTATATATGACTAAATAATAACAGCTATGAGAACAGCCTGACTCTACGGACATTTATACAAAATGCAGAAGAGACAGTTTAAAATGCCTCTTCTAATTTACATTTACTTCTATAAGTTACATTTATCTAATTATAAAAAGTGGAATAGCTTCAGTGCGGTATTATTGTAAGTGGAATAGTCCTTCATTCTCAGAGGAGGGACTTGAACTTCAGTCTCTCCCATGTCAGATGACTGATTCTGTCAAAAATCAGTATTTCCCACTGCAGAAAGCTTCAGTTCTATTTTAACAAAACAACAAACCTATGCAATATTTATTTGGTATGGTATTTATAGGAAATGACCACCTTTTTTGTTTTAAATATCTTTGTAACATGTATTTATTTTATTTTAATTAAGCTTTTGTTACAGTCTTACCGCTTTATATTATCACATTTGCTTTTTTCATACTTTCCTGAAGTAGTTCTTTTCCTACTGTGTCTTAACGTATCTACACATACCTGTCTCTCACATCGCATGCACTTTCCTCCCTCCCCCTTTCTCCTACGATCTGTTTTCTAGACGCTTGTTTGTTCTCTTCTTCTTTCAGGTTTCAAAATCTCTTTTACGCTATCAAGTTCAAATTTCTGAATTAACACACTAATCTTACCTCTTCACATAAAATCCTGTAAACTACTCCCAGCACCTATTACACAAAAGACTGAATCTACAAAACAGACTTTGATATAAAAGACAGAAGGAGAAGCATTACCTACAGGAACCACCACAGATGAAAAGAAAAAACACATTTCTAGCTATTCTAATTCCCACCAGGATATTTCTCCTTGCATCTTTTCTTTCCAATGTGTATCAGGCCCAAGCCACTAGAAGCACGATAAGTTTTAAGCCTTTACATTGCTCCCTTATTCCAGACTCCCTTATTTTAACAGAAAGGTTTGGTTCTTTTTTTTTTTTTTCCTCAAAAGTGTTGTACCACAGACAAATAGTTTATTTTCTTCCCTTAACTTACTTGTTAGGAGAGCAGTATCAGTTCATACTGCTCATTCCACTGTCCACTGGCAACTCCAGCTTTTGCACCCCTGTTTTTAGTTTCTCTAAGAAATGAACCAAAATTTGCTTGTGGTAGTCTTATCACTCTCCACAGAGAAAAGCAGCAGAGAAAAAGATATGATTTTGACCTCCTAGAAGGATTTTTTTTGTTTGTTTGTTTGTCTGTTTGGTTTAATTTTAAGGAGAGCAGAACTGGTAATTCTAATGTAGTTTCTGCACAAAAGACATTTAAGAACTACTGTTGCAATTTTTAATATTTTTTTTAAATTAAAACCTAGTCTCCAGCAAATGTTTTAAGCTACCTGCTTCTGTTTCACATTTGCAACAGATCAGTGGAATATTCAAATCTTAGACACTACTATCCATTTCAAATTCACATAGTTTATCAGGAAAAAGTATCCATGTTCTCTTGTCATCAGCACTGCAATCTTATGCTTTGATAAGGTCTGCTGGTTTCATTCAAGGACAAGATCTTTTCTTGGAAGAAACAAGGGAAGATCAAGGACAGTAATTCCTTACTTCTAACGGGCAACATTGCAGGAGGAGTTATCACAATTTTCATTCAGGTCATTTATCACCTAGGTTAGTTACTCTCATTTCATAAGAGACAGAAGTGCCTAAATCAACTAAAGGACTGAACACCAGAAAACCCAGAAAAGGATGCAATTTTTATTATTATTAACTCAAACCAGAGTCCTTATACTCACTCTACCATAATTTCCTGCATTTGGAAGAGTAATTTATATGATCTGTACATGAAGCAGACATGGTATCAGCACGTAGCCATCTGTATTCTCTTTTTAGTCATAATGATTCCAAATACCTTCAGTGGCGTTTGACTTCCATAAAACACTGCCTTATCTAACCTTATATACATCCGCTTCCCACTACAGTGATTACAAGACACAAAAAATAGCAACACATTTAATATAATACAATTCAGTATGATCTAATCTTCATTTTGTATGAAAAAAATCGTTGCAAATAGTATGTGTTCTAAACATGTAGTACATTTACCAGAATTTAAGATGGACAAAAAGGGAGACTGGGTTTTACAGTAGCTGGAATTATTCAACTAAAGAGAACTATGAATTTAAAACAGTGCTAAGAAAGAAGGAAGCCAAAAGATAAGAGCACGAAGTCTGATGTCCCAATGTGATTGAATGATTACATTCTTTTAAAGGTATTTTCTCACCAAACTCTTTGGGTTTTTCCCCCGTGTGTTTTTAAAGAAGTATTCAAAATGTAGAAATACATAATCTGTTTTTAAGGATAATAACCATTTGAGGGAACAGAGGTCCGATCTCTGTCACACTGGCACAATCACTGCATAAAACAAATGAAAATAACGGAACAGGAAAAAGAACTACTATATAACTCTCCTCTACTAGAAATACTCTCTTAAACATTTTCTGTCAATTGAGGGATAGTATCCCAGTTTTAAATGCTCAGCCTCTCATGTTAGCTAAGGCAGCAGCATCTCTAGGAATGCACAAAAATGCAGGCATGTAAGCATTGCTACTAAAATTTAAGTAGCTACAGCTCTTTGGGTTTCTCAGGAAAGGTTTTGGAACTTAAACTCTAGAATCTAACCTCCCTACATGGGCCTACCATGCACCCATATTACACTCAATAATCCTAAAGTAGATTGTGTTCTGTCTCTTGAGTCTTGATTTAAAATTAACAAAAACTTTATGTTAGAAGGCGGCAGACCTCACTTTCACAAGACTAGGTTTCTTTTTCACACAAAGTGTAGTCTGGTGCTTGTTAGTGGATTATACAAAACAAAAATAACTTAATGGCCTCATGTTTTAAATGGTTTTCTTTCTCTGCTTTACTAAAAAAAAACCTAAAAACCCACCATGTTTGAAAAGAACCATTTTCTATACTGAATACTTAAAAGGCAAATGCAAAAAATTAAACTTCATTTACCAAAACATGTATATCACAGTGATAACACCGATACTCAGAGCAAACATTAGCTTAACTTGTAAATGCAATAGACATAGTGAATTTTAAACAGGCTTTTCTAATGTTTGCTACAGGAAGTTTTGTTTAGGTACCAGGATGCAAGAGACGAATTACATCTACAAAGTTCCCATGTTAAAAACATTACACAAATTATGCACTGTCTCTCACATAGATGTAAATGTAACAAAATAGTGTCCATAAAATGTAAATGTTTTTTACTGTCAAGTATTGATAGGTGAATCAGAATGAATCAGTATTCAGTGTAAATCTGAAAAAGACTGTGCCTCTAATAAATTCAGCACAAGCCTAGCAAAAAAAGCCTGCTGTTATCATGAAAGCTCATGTTATCATGAGATTACAACAGACGTTGAGTGAGAATACGTACAAATTTAATGAAATGTAAAAGAAAACACTTCAAATCATAACAAATTCCTGTAGTGCCTTCTATTGCATCTCATCACCTGCTAAGGGCTCTTGTCACATTAGCTGCAATATTAAATTACATGGCAGTTTCGCCACAACAACATGACATACAACTAAAATTTTTTTTACTCTAAGAGAGAAACTTAGTTCCATTAGAAGAAAGTTCCAAAGGAACCAAGCAAATATTCCCATCATAAATACCATGATCATATAGGGAAATATTGAACACTGATTAACAAATTAAAACATCACAGATTTAGAGCTTATCATACACGGGTACATACACACACATGCACACACAACCATACATACGTGCACTTTCACTTACCTCAATAGCTCTCTTTATATACGGTATCTGCGTGCCACTGTCCAGGTCTTCATTAATTATAAGTCTCCTAGCCCACTGACCTGCTCTGACAACACCATTACCATGAATTAGGACCAAGAGCTTGTCAGGATTTGTTAATGCATCTTCACTCATAAAGATAAAGCTCTTTGGTTCACTCTCAGTTGCATCAACCTGCAATTACAGACAACATGTACTTTTCTGCATCAATAAAATTTTTTAAAAGAACATCCATAGTCATAAAGTTAGCCACCAAATTGATAGAAAAACTTTCACCATTTAACAACTATTTGTGTGCATATTACAAGGACTACTGTGTGCCCAGTACTAAATAAAAATAAAGCAAAAGCTCATATCTTCACAATGTAACTTCAAAACATACAAATATACCACAGCTCAGAACAGTAATCCAGGGCAGATTTAAATCAAAAAAAAGGGGTAAAAGGTATGCTAAAGCTTTGAAACATCAGTTGTTTACAGAAATTTACTGGCAAAAAAGAAAGTCCATAAAAGAAAACTTGGGGTGGGGGATCAACTAATTTGTCACTTCTGATATGCCTGAAGCAACAATAAAATTCTTACATAATATAAAAAAAAGTCCTGGAGAGTTCCATCTCAGCCACCTCAACATCAATAAGCCACATAGGAACCAGCATTGCAAATTTGTCTATTACAAATTTAATAGGATAGACCTAATAAAATGTAGAAACTCAATTTATGTGTAAGTACTGGCTTCACTGAGAGTCCTGCATCTGGGTCAATGCTTAGCCACTTTGCTGTAGGAATAGACCAACAACAAGTAAACCATAATCTAATTCCCAGTTTCATCCTTACTCTAGAGAGTAAACCAGCACTTTTTGTTCAGGAAGAACTGAAGTTCTATGTAACAGGTCTAGACTTGGTTTAGTAAGCCTGGCCCAATGCAGAACTGTGCTGGTGTATACACCATGGGGGCAGAAAAAACCGCCCCATCTACTCATTCTTCCCTTTCTCCCATATGCATATATAGAAAAGGAAGAAAAGAACAGGCAAATCTTCCCGTCCTCCTGGACTCCACACCCCACGAGCCATGCAGACTAAGTGTACAGCTGCTAGAACAATCCTGCATTGCCTTATGCTCTGCAACAGCGATGAAAGGCAGGTCACGGTATGAGCCTTACGTTGAGACAGGAGGAACAGCTATTTGGATTATGTTGGTTTTTCTCTCATACACATTTCTCTCTTCAATTATCCTTGCGTTAGGAAAAATTAATTCTGCATGAATCTCCAGACTTTTTTTAATGCAATATTTTTTTTAATGAAGTCAATGACGCTACCTGAACATAAGAAATTCCTAACTGGAAGAGTGGTCATGATCTCTTCAGCATCTGCTGTAGCATTGAAGATCTGATTCCTTGCTCCAAAAATGATCTAACATCTCACATGCCTCAGCTTGCACTTTCTACACCAGGAAACACACTCACCTACTTCACACCTTGTGCGAAAATAGAAACCAAAGAACGCGTTCTATTGGAAAGAGTTTAGAATATTTAAGTACAACAGATACCATACTGGGGCTACAGTCAGATCAAGCTCCCGCTTCTGAAATAGCAGGTATCAACCTTAAAATTTAACAGAGCTTAGGTAAAAAAAGTCAGACAACACTAAAACTCAGATAGTACTTGGCAAGATAGAATTTTTTGCACATAGTTACAGCATCATAAGTATTCAGTTTAAGAAAAAAACCATCATGAATTTGTATTTCAGGCAAACATATAACTTAGTTGTATGTTTCAGTATTTATAAACTAAATATTTGTTTAGTACTTAGGAAATACTAGCACTTAGTAATCATATGTACTAGAAGATACAAATAGTCCACATTTCTGCACATACGTCAAATTAAAAAAGTTAAAAATATCTATCAAGATCATAAAAAGTAACTCCTCATTCTCTTCCTGAAATTAATCACATCTGGGAACTTTTCTTCAAGCTAATTTATCTTCAAACAGTAGTAATTCATTAGATAAAGCTTTCACTAAAGAATGCACATAAAGGTCACTCCTGTGCACAACCTTACTTTACTGACAAATCAATGTAGAATACCATTTAGTGCTGGACACACTGAGTCCACATAAAATAATTTATATTTATTAGCCACTGTCTCCTCTGGACCTACTCATGAACATATATTTCTGATCCTTTATTTAAACACAAATCAAATAAATTCAGTAAAATGCTGAACTTCAGCTATTTTAATTTAACAATTTGATCCAACATTGATATTCACATGCAACAACCATCTTCCAATAATCTGTAGGTAGGAATGTCAACTCAATCTAAATTCTGCTGATAATTTACTGTTTAAAAGTACTGCTTAAATTTTAATTTTCCTTTTCTCAGATTTATTTTTCCAATGCGCAATTAAGGTTTATGAATATATGCAGTTATGGCGAATTGTCTGACTTACACACTCTACATATATTACGACGTTCTTAAGGTTTTCAAACAGTGAATTACATTTTCCATATGAGTTCTGTCTCAAATGAGCTATCACCTAATACAGTACTCTCAGTCTATAGGGTATTTCAGCAGCGTACTAGTTAGTATTTTGCACAGCTGCTACCAATATATAGGGCAAGATCAAACTATACTTGAAATCTAATCTTACTGACATTCACGCTGCCACATCACCACGGACTTAATTTTCAGTTCTTAGCCATTACCAACTCAAGATGAAATGAGTAGGCTCTTAGGGGTTTTATTTTGGCTGTTGGAAGTTTTTAAGTTTAAGAATGAACATTAAATTTTTAGAGGGAAAAAAATCCACTATTTTTCTTGTTCCAGCTAAGAAACACAAGAAAAATGATGAGCCTAGAGCCTACAAACATGTGAAACAGTTGTAATGTGTGACTGGAGGAAAGGACATGGCAAAAACATGGAATTGAAACTGTAAAGATTCAAAGACATTGCAAGAATTGTGAGCAGCTGGTGGAGAAAGAAAACTGCTCATTTGTTTCACAAGATAAGAAAGTCTTCTGTGGTTCTGCATAAAGCTTGCTAACACACTTGTGTTACAGTCTTCACAATATTGAATATCCTGATCTATAATTTTTCACTTAAAATTGTAAAAAAATGAAAACTGCTGATCCATATTACAAACAGCTACTTAGCATTTGGTCACTACCACAACTAACTTAAAGCTAAAAATCGGTGGATTTTTTTTTACAAAACAAGTATTGACTGGACTTAGGTAACAAAAGACCAAAAAGGAACAAGCAGTGGATATAAGACACCATTGTTTCTCAAAGAAAAACAGTTCTCGGCTCTCTAGTAGCTCAAGAGAACTACTGAATGAAGTTACACCTACCAAGTAAAAGAGGAAAGCATTGACAAGTTAGAAGATTCTGCAAAGTGAGACATTTCAGAGCCATTGTCAACAAAACATGTTAGTAATTATTTAAACTTCCATCTCAAGCCCTCCCAGAAGCTGTTAAAGATGCATTTAATTTAGAAGCACCCTCTATTTGTCCTCAACAGCTAAAGAACAGCAAAGATCAATCGCTGATTATGCCATTAAAACTACAGAAATACAAAGACTTCATCTGGATAAAAAGATTGCAGGCAATTGCAGTCTTCTTTATATTCATAATATAACCTTCAATGGAGCACAAAATGAGAAATTTAAAAGAAATAATTGAACGGCTTCTCCCTGAATATGAGTCTCTTCATTTAAATTTTCAAGTCCAGTAGTGTATGTTGAACACTGAGGGAACTACAATACTTTGCAGTAATAATAATGCAATATGCATCTCAGCCTCCCTGTGTAGGAAAAAAACGTTCAGATTTATGCTTTGTCAGAGATGTTGACATAACAAAATGATGGGCAAACTTTCCTGATTTCCAAACTGCTCTTATTTTCACATATGGAAAGAAATTTACAAACAATTGTGTCCAAACCTGAAGCTGTCACCTGAGAAAGTGAAATAAAGACAGAAAGTCGTGACTTTGCACATGAGGTTGAAACGAAGAAAGACAAGAGAACATGCAATGCTGTCATCCTAAACCTTTGAAACATAGAATTTTCACTTACTACTAAAATCATGCTAAAAAAAACCATTGCCATGCTTAACACAGTCCTGAAACGTATTTCACATATTTAAACATCATTACATTGTCTACTTTGTTATCAGCTGACAGAAGAAGCAAGGCCAATACACCAACTTTGTGATCATCTGTGACAAAGTTCAGAAAAAACATGTTTTCGTATTCGCCTCTAAAATGTTTGTATAATAAGGTCATCTTCATAAGAAGAGCCATCGTGGTCCCCTGGTCCTGTTTCTGACACCTGGCAGATTGCTTAGGGAAATGGTACAAGAGCAGAGTGGTTACATAGCGATTCTTCCCTGGTTTTGGCAACCAGTAGCTCCGGAGCCTCCTGAGCCAGAGTTCATAACTGGACCAGCATGTACAGTAGTTCAATGCACCTATCCCACCTTGGTATTGTCAAATGGGTTTTTTGAATGCATTTATATCGTTCTCCTTGAGAGTATTCTGTGGCAATGAGTTCCACAATATAATTGGGACATATATGAAACAGTACTGCCTCTCTTTCAGTAGAGATCTCCTGCCTGATAATTTAAACTTGATGCCCCTTAGCTTCTCTATTATGAAAAAAGCAAAAAACCATTCCCTATTCATCTTCTCTACACCTTTCATGATTTTATAGATTTGTCATATTCCTTCCTCAGTCATCTATTTTCCAAGCAGAAGAATCTTTGTCTAATCTTTCTTTGTCTGAAAAGCATTTCATGCCTGTGATCATCCTTGTAACCCTCCTCTGTATTTTTTTTTTTAAATTCTTCATATCCTTTTTGATATGGTGTCCAGACTCCATGCAGTGTTCAAGATGAGGGCCCACACAATGAGTGGAATGACGATGTTTTTCTGTTTCGTTCTCAACACCTCATAATTCCTAACATCCTATTTGCTTTGAGGGTTTTTGACTGCCATTCAGCACTAACTGATGTTCTCAGAGAACTATTCACAATCACTCCAAGCTCTTTCCTGAGTGGTAATAGCTCATTTAGAGGCCACCATTGTGTTTACAGAGTGAGTTATTTTCCCCATAATTTCACATTTACCAGAATTGAATCTGATGTCATTTTGTCATCCAATCATTCAGCATCATGAAATAATTCCCCCACTCGTCACAATCAGCTTTAGATTTAAGTATTCTAAGTAATTTTAGAATAAACAGCAAAGTTTGTTAGCTTCTACTAATTCCTTTTTCCTCTTATTTAAAACTATGTCAGTGCAAGCCTTAATAACACCGCACGAGTTACAAATTATTTAATCAGTTAAATATGAAGCCCTTTTTTTCCCTTTTAATCAATTATTAACTTACAAGGGGCCTCCCTCCTCCTATGCTTTTTAAAAGCATTTAGTAAGCTTGTTGACAGCTTGTTGGAAATCCACATACTTTTTTACTGACAAGATATTTCTTTTTCATGTGATCTCTGACTCCTTCAATGAATTCTAGTAGTTTGGTTTTTTTTAAAGAGAAACCTGTACTGACTTTTCCCCCAACATATTATTTGCTCCTGATACACAGGAATCACTATGAATCACTCCTGGAGGCCTTGCAAAGACTGTCGCATTTACTCTTTTTCCATGTCTCTGATGAAAACAGCCGATTTCAGCAATAGTCAGTTGTTCTACAGCTTCATATTTGACTTATAGAACCCTGGGCTTAAAAACCATCTCATCCTGGACTTTGATTATTGTACGATATATCAATTTGTCCTAAGATCTCCTCTACTGATATGCCAAATTTCAAACAGTTTCTCAGAGTTATCTCCTGTTTAAAAAAAAATTACTAATAATCAAGCACGAAAATTTGACAAATATTGGAAATAATGATGTCAGCTTTTCTTATTTGAGCTGAGCATTCTTTTTGCATGCAGCTCATCTATCAGCCTCATCAGCTCTGTTTTATTATTAGCCTTTACAAGTGTAACACACTCCTCAAATTCAGTTTTGGGTGATCTTACTGTGAATTTATAAGTAACTTGCCAGCATTTACGCTCTCTTCTGTTTTCCTCACTTGTGCAGGACGTACCCTTGCTACAAGCTGCCTTATTACTTCTGTTAGTCTCCTTCACTAGTTTAAACTAAGGGTTTTTTTGTGTTGTTACTTGGGAGTCTGTCCATGGTTATCTAAACATAGCCTTTACATGGCTTTAATTTTTCAGCTTCTATGTACAGTGTTTCATTTTTCTCATTTTTGTGTGCCTCTTTATAAACTGTTTTCGACTGTGGTGAGGGCTTTCTATGCATAATAGTCACCACTGAAGAATAATGCTCATACCTTGTGCCAAATTTTCCACACTGCTCACAATTAAACAGCTGCATATATTTTGTGAGTTCTTACTTTGCTCTGAAATGCAATTAAATTATGACACTTTGCAGTAGCTGGAAGTAATATATTTGAGAGTAGCTTAAATGTACTACTGACAAACTGCATCAGTACATCAGTGCTTACTACATAATTTATACATAAGAGTAAACACAGATTAATTCAACAGTGAGAGCTAGACAGGGCCATTCTTCTCTCAAGCCAGACACCCAAATCTCAGCCGTGCAGACGAGTCCCCACGTGTGTGACAGAGGCCATGGAGGTGTTGTAATACTTCTTCCAAGTTTGCTCATTTTTTGAGGCTAATAGATCAGACTTAGCATTGCATTACCTACACGCATATTCCTTTATAGCCTCAAAATTCAGGCACTTGAAAGGTTATAAAAGACAGCTTCCTGGTTTCACAGAGAGTGACATGGCTGGAGAAAGCCTTTTGCCACATGACCCATCTGGTACATGGAAGAACTCCTTAGCAAAACTTCCCCAATAAGGAAAACTAGTTGTGCAAAGAAGTTAGAGATTGAGACCGGCAGCGCACCAGGCAGACTGTCACAAAGAACCCAACCCTCTTCTCTGTCTACACAGGTAAATCTGAAGTGGGGAAATGCTTTCTCAAGCTGTCTGGGGTGTTGGGGCATCAGCACAGCCTACATGGTACCAGAAGGCTGGGAGTGCGGAGGAAAGCTGCTCCTTGCCCTCCAACCGCTCTGTGGAGCTCTCAGCACATCTCCTTCTGCCCTGACCAGGAGACACTGGCAAAGCCTAGCTGAGAAACCTTGAGTAGTTTGGGCAGGTTATTAAAACATTCACTGAACAACACTTAGGAAATGGAAATAGGAACTGTGAAACGTTACAGAACTGCTAAAGCAAAGGACCTTTTCCTTCCTTAGCCCAAATGGGTCTTCCTCAACTGAATATGAAGGACTGGCTGAGAACAATGGTAATGCAAAAGCTTCTCAAAGACCATAAGAATCCTTTATGATAGTGATGGAAAACCTATAGAGTGCTGCCACACTATAGTCTCCCCTACGCTCTCCAGTATAGACTACAAAAATACCTGAACATCATCATCGTATTGCGCGTATTTACCAACACTCTCATACGCGTTCTTTGGGGAACGTTTCATCACTTCGAACGGTTGATCAAATACTTTCACTGAACAATAGCAGCACCTTATGTTACATAGATGTTACAAGTTACTGAAAAAGTGTGTTTCAAAAAAAGAGTTAGACTAGTTTACTGAAACTCAATTCAAGTTTATTTCTCTGCCTGTAAAGGCACATTTGTTCTCTACATCCAGCTGTAGAGGTCTTGAAACATTCACAAATACTCTTCAAAAAGCTTATGGTTCCTCTATCAAAACTACTACATTTTGAAAATTCTGGAAACTGGTAAGGCAAGGAAGGCTCAGCTGAGAACTGAGGTGGAACCATGTCTCCAGATGCATGCACATGCTGCATGCAAAGGCACTGTTCTGAGACAATGTCCTGCACTGAGCCTTGGCACACCTTGTCTTTATCCAAACACTGGATTGTAGGCTATGTTTTTTTACAGATCCAAACAAACAATGGCTTTGGAAAAAAAAATTAAAATATATACTTACTGGGAGAGTTACTTTCTTCAAGTGGCATTCCTTTTGCAGTAGTTCATAAACATATTTAGTAATGATCTGGAAGAAAAAAAAAAAAAAAAAAAGACATGCAAACACACATTAAACAGCTTACAGTAATGACATATCCAGGCAGACAACTTAAAGGCTAGTTGGTTAAACTTCTAAGCACTTGTGTATGTTTTGCCACTGATTTGAATCATTCACTATACAACTAATTACAGAGCTTGGAGCATTACAAAAAAAGGTCCTCTCTGTCCCTCAGAAAAGGCTGCTTGGCAGTACAAAGAAACTGTAACTGTACCTGTGAATCCATCACGCGCTGCTGTGTGAATAATTATGTGCCTCAAAACTAAAGGATTATAACCAATTAATATATACTCAGGGGTACAAGAAAGGCTCTCTTTTGCAAAGAAACACTTTAAAAGCATTTTTTTCCATAAGCAGGACTCCTGAAAGCCTCTCCCCTGCAGGTTCACTTCATGAGCTACAAGGAGAGCAGATCTTTAGTAACCCTCAGCACAAGTTGCCTTGCCATTTCTATTCACTGAACAGGGGAGGGATGGGTCAAAGGTTTCTAAATACAAGAAAAACCCTGACTGATTCCCCACTATGGGGGAGTTTAAGTCTCTTGTCTCCACGTAGAAATAAAATTGAAATTTTAGACCTGAAACAAAAGGAATTATTTCAAAGAGCAACCAAAAAAAAAATAAAATAAAAAAAAAAAATCAACCTAGTCTGAACGAAAGACTTGCCATCTCAAATGTAACAAAGTTGTTCACACATCAAACGCTTGCCTAATATCTCGGGAAATTTTTTTTCACCCTCATATATTCTAAGGAAAATGGAGATGCATAGGTAAGAACTTTCAAACTATTATTAATTTGGGAATTAAGCCAAGGCACAAACTAAAGCACTTTGTCTATATGGGGCTGTAAAAATGGTTTGGAAGTAACTGCCTGGATTTCACTGGCTACAGGAGTTAAAAAAAAAAAAAAAGAAAAATTAAAGAGGGAAAAAAAGTGCTCATTAGGAACCTCAAATGGTGCTTGCCTTCCCTTTAAAGCTTGGAGAACTATGTTTAAATTCCAGACAGGACAAGATCTAAGTCCCAAAATATTAATCCAAGAATATCTGGGTACAAACCCAGCTGGTATTCTTTAGTCCAACGCCTCACGGCCACAATTACACCCATGTGAACACACAGCATATTAAGCCACAACAGAAACATCGCTGTAACAAAGCTCTCAAGTGATGCCATCTTAACAACACACTATGAACCGTGCAAGTAGGAGCCAGGGTATCATAAACTTCAATTTTAATTTTCCAAATGCACAATTACCAAATAAAGTTTCAATGAAGTCCAAAAGTTTTCATTATGTACATGTGAGCAAACACAATATGCAAACGTTTGGAATACATTTGAACAAATTAGAGGTACTGATGAAAGTCAATTAAATATGTTGGTGTGTGCCTCTCCCTTCCTTTCACAAAAACCCAAACCTTCATTAGGATTACGTGAATTGTTTGCTACCCTGCTCAAATATGTTTATTGATAGAATTATGTTCAAAAAAATGATACCGTTTTAAAGAAAATCAGTCTTACTGAACATTACTATGTACAGGGAAACTGCATTTGCAGAAGGAATTTAGCTGTGAGCGATGAGTTGATTTAAGACATGTTTATCCCCAAAGCAGTATGTTAGGAACATGCATACAGTGTAATTTTACCTTCAGGGCCAAACTTTTTATGGTTCACCGAAATCAACTTCAGTGTAATGCCAACAAGTAAAGCAGTTAAGTTCCTGCAGTCTCAGATGCTGATGCTGTACAGACATTAAAATGAGTATAATGATAATATGGCCTCAAACACAGAAATTTTATTTTTCACTTCAAATCCACGCAACTACTAACTGTCAAAAACACCAAAAGAACACTTGGAAGAGAAAAAAACTGCTACGAAGAAAATATATTTTAGACACCACTTGCAAAAATCTACCCTTTTTCGCAGTTATGTGTTTGTACCTATTTCTTCAATTCTCTCTCATCTATTTAGACTGTGATGTCTTCAGGGCAGAAGTACACTTTTACTCATATATATTATTCATGTAGCACTAGTTAAGCTTACTATTACAAATCTACAGAGTTTAAATATCCATAACTTCTTTGAGTAGTAGTATTAGCTTGTTATGCTGGTATTTTCTTCTTCAGACCTGAAAACTGCTGTAGGACTTTGAAACATGTCTTGTGACTTCTTGCATGAGAAGGTGGAGTATGAACCATCTTGGACTAATCATCTGTCGTATTGTTGCTCATGACTGCAGCTATTTAGTGACAGAGTCTGTTCAATCCAGTCCACTGTAAGTAACTCATCTAGAACTATCAGGCAGCAAATTGTCCAGTACAAGCCACTCTCAAGACAAACCAACAGTTGCTAGAGAGCCCTGCTCAGGTTCTTCGCAGTAACCTGGGATATTTATGCTTTTTCTAAGGCTCTTGCAACTCCTAAGGTATGCCAACACCGTAAGCAGTACACTGCATTGTAATTCAAGGTAATAAAGTGGCTGGTGAGCTGGCAGCACCACAGCCAAGATGGGAAAGGAGAAAGAACCAATAGTAAGGCTTGCCCAACGTGTGTGAAATTCATTTGCTGATGAACGGAGGAAAAAACAGTGGATTATTCTGGGCATATTAAAAACACGAGTACCTAATCTCTGCTACCATTTCTTTGTTACAGTTTTCCTTCATCTACTGTGGACGAGATTGAGAGCAGTAATACCTATGGTTCAGGACAGGAGGAACTAAGCTTCAGTGCTCACAAGTGCCCTTCTGAGGAGCTTAAAACAGTCAGTCTTTTGATTTACATTGGATATAACAGTGTGAATACCTCCAGAAGTACCTTTTCAAAGTGCTAGTGGCCCCAAATACGACATCTGCAAAATTCAACAGTCCTATGAATAATTGGGGGATACACTTATGTCATGAACAGTAATCCTTCATATGGATCCACAACATAATTTATTTTAATTATGGAGGAATTAAATTTGATGACTTGGATGGTCAGCAAAAAGGACACAAACAGTGAAGACCACAGATGAAGAGAGAAACACATTATTTGACAACAGAGCTGAGATTTTACCCTTGCATTGCTAAATATTCTGCACCATGATGGCCAAGGCTATAATGCTGCATGCAGTCTGCAGGGCAAAACTGAAACTGCAGGTGGAAACACAGTTCTGGTACACATAACTGTAGTACACATTAATTGGTAAGGTCCTGGCTTCACGTGACTTGTGTTCTTTTAAGATAATGTTGTTCATATAGAGGACTTTGCTCAGGACTGTTTTCAATTGCCAAAAAGCATCAAAATATTCTGTTAGCAGCATAATTTGTAAAATCTTTGCAATGCACAATCCTGAAGCCACATGATCAAAAGATCAATACCTGCATACAACCACATGAAAAGAGAAATTAAAAAGCAAGAGCCATTGAGACCAACACATTTAAAGTTACAAAGATCCCGAAGGCACTGAAGCATAGATGTGATTACAAGTGGAGACAAATACCAAAAAGACTCTTCAATGCACTAAGTATTGGAGGTCTTTAAACAGCAAAAGTCTGGAAAAGAGGACAACCAAAAGCATGCCCACAAAGCAAGCAGACAATTCCAAAATAACTCAGGGTAAAATAATATACCCCCATTTTAAGTCTGTAAGAAACTGAAAGAAACGTTTGTAACACACATCAAAAATGTCAAGAACCAGCCTGGCACACATGAGGAAGAGCAGAACTGCAGCTGACCTGCTGATGGACTTTCTCATAACAGAGAAAGCCAGGTAGACCAACAACAGATCACAACTCAACATCTTGTTTCACAACACCTACACAGCCTAACCCAGAGGAGCTGCTTCAGCACATACCACGCTGAAACCACCATCAGAAATCACGCTGGGACGCAGTGAAGTGCACTGAGCCTTGCTCGTCAAGCACTGCCTCCCCCCTCCTGGCTGTGCTTTACAAACCAAGTCCTCTGAATTCTTTTTTTCTTCCCCTGAGTGTGCTCCCAATTTCAAAACCAACCACAGGTAACTCTACCCACCACCAGACTAAGAATAGAACAGCAAACCTGCTGCAAGGGGAAAAAAAGAAAAAGACAAAGTAAACTACTCAAACTTGCAAAATGTTCTCTCAAGTATGTATTCTCTCCTAAAAACATATTAAAGAAATGGCACAGGCCTGTGTGATTTGTGGCCTCTAGTTTCTAAACCAGCACCTATCAGTAGTCACTGGCAATCATTACCACACAACGAATGTTCATGGATTCACGACAGATGTGAGGAACCTTTCAGCTAGCGCAAAAAACCACAGTCTCTTTGAAGACAATCAAACGCCACATATCCCCTTCTTCTCCCATCTGTGCATCCCTCATGACCAAAACGCCAACAACCCTGTCAAATGGGCAGTGTATGGTTAACACATGACAAAGAATAAAGCACATGGGACACGATCGAGGATAAAGCACAGGCGAGCAGCTGACATTACAACCACTCACATGACAGAGGCCAGATTGCAAGACCTTAGAGAAAGGAGAAGAGAGTGCAAGCTGTTAACCCAAGTTGTCCACACCATTGCCTGCTCCTACACACTTCTAGCAAATTTCTGGGAAAAAAGGAAACATAGGAATGACAGGTTAAATACATTCTTCCGGTGGACCAGATCCAGCAGATCATGTTCCTCATTCACAGCTATTCAAAACACAAACAGAACCCCATCACCACCATTACTACTCTTGTTACCACTTTACTCCAAGAACTAAATGCGAATGGAGACAGAACAACCCTCTCAAAGTTAACAGAGGCTACTTCCCATCAAGAGGGAGATGTGTTGGCAATGATATACTTATTCAGTGGACAGGAGGCTTCTGCCTCTGAAGATGTCAACTTGTGAAACAACACTCCTTAAACACCTTATCAGATCACTTGTTTTCATTAACTTCTAAAGATAGTTCTCAAAGTACATGAAAGTGCAGAGAGTAAGAGAATCTAATGGATGTAATTTTG